GCCGTGACCCAAGGCTCCACTCGGATTGGTTACCGCATCTCGCACATGGGTTGCTCACGTTGCCCAGAGTGCGCGAACGAGGACGCAAGAGTCGGGATTGAGTATAGCCATGCAACTGTAACTGCATACCCAGCGAAATGACTATACCCCATTGCACTCATAAATACTCATTTTACTCGCTATTAAATTTAGTTTTGCAATCAATGGTATGGTTTTCTTATAAAATAGTGCGTAAAATCCTCACCAAAATTGAAAAAAGTGAAAAAGTAAAAAACAAATGTGTTTGCTGGGTAAATACACTCAGATCTCTTAAGGTTTCTTTATACACATATATATCGTTGGAAAGGCCCAAGTTTCTTCTTTTTAAACCCTCTTCTTCTAAATAAACCGAAACTCGGTTCATAATGAACTAAATTACAGACTTATAAGTGCGCAAAGGTACGAAAAGCAGGTTTTTAACGGTAAATCAATATTTTGGGGGTGTTTGGCAATTTTCATATTTCGATTCTTGTTTTACTCGAAAAGACCTACCAGAAAATATACATAACTTCCCAGGTATTTCTACTTTATGCTTTTTTGTAGCACTGTTATTTTTCCTATTTTCCGTCTGCTTCCCACTACTACTCGAAAATTAGCTTGTTTTACACCGCTCAACGCGCTTGACGTGAATTGCCCCATATATGAATATAAAAATATTTGAAAAGAAACCCAAACAATTTTAAAAGTAGACACTACATATCGATGGCTGAGTGGAAGATCGACTTATCTCGGCAACCAGTTCGAAAACGCCCTATCTCAGAAAATTTTTTAACAACGCTCTATCTCAGAAAACTATTCAGGAACGCCCTACTTCAGAATTTCATTGAAAAACGCCCTATCTCAGAAAATTTTTTAACAACGCTCTATCTCAGAAAACTATTCAGGAACGCCCTACTTCAGAATTTCATTGAAAAACGCCCTATCTCAGAAAATTTTTTAACAACGCTCTATCTCAGAAAACTATTCAGGAACGCCCTACTTCAGAATTTCATTGAAAAACGCCCTATCTCAGCTGCCGATTCAAAAACGCCCTATATCAGTTTGTTTTCAATGTATTTTCATTTGAGATATGGCGTTTTTGAAATGAATTCTGAGATAGGGCGTTATTCAACCAAATTCTGAAATAGGGCGTTCATGAAACAGGGCGTTTTGGAACTGGCTTCCGAGATAGGTCGATCTTCCACTCAGCCATCGATATGTAGAAAATGAGTAGCTATGTATTGCTTTTGGTCCGATATTTGCGTGGTTGTCACATGAGAGAAACAGAACATGGATAAGTATTCAAAATTTATTATTTGTATTTAAATGATAAATAACCAATAACCTTTAGAAGGTGCAATATGTAACCAATAGCTCGATTTGTTACTACCTGGAGCATAATTTGTTATTGGAAATAATAATGTGGCTAGTATGAAAGCGACAATTGCCACCAAACCCGCTGCATGGAATTTTAAAATAAGCATATTGTCAATGGCTGGTTTACTGTATACTGTGCTTGTAAAGCATTTGTCACGATAACCATGTTATAAATTTATTTTTTATTTTTTTCGCACGATGTCAAAAAATTCATTGGTACCCGGTAATTCTTAAGCACCTCCAGGAACAAGAAATCTTCGCACCTATGAATTTTTTAGCATCGTGAGAACTTGTTCCCTTTCCTGTGTATCCTGTTTTATAAATTTGTAATATAGTTTGTAAGAACATTGTTTATTGATTAATAAATGAAATGAAATGAAATTAATGACAAAAAATGTAACTTTTTGAGCTTAATTGTTCTTTTCGCCATTTCCGTAAATACCATTACCTCTCTTATTCCGAAAAAAAACATTTTTTTTATCTACTACAGTGTGTTTATTGGTATATTCTTTGTTAAGCTTCAGTTGATGTAAACTTAATTTAACGTAATTTATCATTGAGATCTCTCTTTATAATATGACACGGTCACCCTGTTTGGGCCCCATATCTTTATTTATTTTTTTCAACTTATTTTTAATTGATGTTATTTTTTAATATAGGCTTATTGTCCAACAAAAATTAATCCACATTTAAAAAATTAAAAAAAAAATCCCCAAAGGTGTTTTGAATTTTCTTCTACATTAAATAAAATGCAAACATTCGTTATATGGAAGAACGCGCACAACACCATCAACAAAAAAAAAAAATCGAAAAATCAACGGTATTTTTTAGACACTTCAAACTTGCACCATATTGTAGGGGATTGAATGGGCTACAAAAAAATCTACCCAAAAAATTTGTACAAATTCTGAATAAAAAGTGTGAAATTTTGATGAAACTTTGAAATTGGGTTTTATTTGTATGGGTTTTGCCCGACAATGAGCTATAATTTTATAAAATTAATAAAAAAATAAAATAAATAAATAGCCCTTACTGGGTGACCGTATCATTTGGTCACGGGTTGTATTTTTAAAGATAAGAACGATAAAAAATTAATACAGTAGATAGATCAGTTTCAATGGAATCCGATGCTCCAGCTCTGAAAGTGTTCAACTCGGAATCCGCTGGTGATAGCAGAAGAAGTGGGAGGTCTCCTTGTACTTAAAATAGCAACAATGCAGTAGGTGTGTGTTTGGCTCGATCTAGGTGTGTTTTGGTGCAGTGTATTGGTGTATTTGGCATAAATTGTAATAGAAATGGAAGTCATTGTAATAGAAGTGGAAGTAATTGTATTAGAAACGGAGACATTTTAAAAGAAAGCAATAAATGCCAAAAAAACAGATGATCCCAGCTGTAGGACTTTTTTGGCAATCAGCTTATAGTGTTTTTACCTAGGATGTTGTACGATGGTATACAGTTCTCAAGAAAAACGAAAAATTCATATAAAATTACTTTCAAGGAATGAAAAATAAAGGTTGTCTTCTTAGGCTACGGTTACTATGCATTCGTATTCTGACGAACTTTTGTTCTGACTATTTTTTTGGAACAAAAAACTACGAAACAAACAAACAAACGCGTATATTTTTGTTGCGACGAAATTCTCAGAACAAAAGTTCGTTAGAACACGCATGCATAGTAACCGTAGCCTTAAACGCATTAATCCAAATCATCAGTCTCTTTTATTCCTGAAAAGTATAAAATTTGCAACTTTATTCAAAATTCTTAGTTCTCCATGGTTGCGCATATTGGATATTGATATGAGTCATGATATGGAAATAAGAAAGACGGATGCTTGGCAGTAAAGCAATCAAAATTTCTTGAAATCAGTTTACAACTCTCAAGAATACAATGCTGGTATATTTATTTCTTTAAGACAATTTACAACAACCTACTTTTTAACGCAACAGTAATAATGAAAAAAAAATGTTTTCATTATATGAATTCTTTTTGTAGGGGGGCATTCTATGAAGCACTCCAAGTCGATGCCTGACCACAGTTCCTCCTCCAGGAAGTTAACAAATAAATGGCCTTCCATAAATACAGATAGCGGAATCAGTCTGTTCTCAGCCGATACTCTTATGAAGTACAAAGACACCAGGTAAACATGGCTCTCTAAAAACTTTATTATACTTTTAATCATTTTTCGTTTTAATAAAGCTCGCGATCTGGTTCAAGTACGGCCTCAAAGTCAGAAGAGGCAAAAAGAAGACTGGAAGATGAGACCAGAAGGTCTCGTCGCTACACCCAACAACATACACAGATAACACAGCAACCACCTTCATTCAGTAGCAGTAGTAGCGGAAGCAGTAGTTTACAACACCAGTCACAGCCACCGCCGCTACCGGCAAAGCCTTTAGAGACCACAACTGTCGTATTCTCTTTCTGTGACGAAGAATATCCTTACAGATCGAAAATTCCCGGTTCACAGCCCACCCTGAAGCAGTTCAAGGACTATTTGCCTAAGAAAGGCAATTTCAGGTGAGTCACACGTCCTTTATTTGATTACAATGTAGTAACGTAAAAGTTTTCAAAAAAAAGTTATATGAGGCATGGTAGTATTCAAATGTAGACAAACTGAATTTTCAGTATTGGCTTATTAAGATTGTAATTTTGATTAGTTGGAAGGTATACCTTTGTTATAAGACACATCTTATTTTTACTTTTTGGTACTTCATTTGTTCTAGGACCGGCCCCCCTCCTGAAATTGTACGACGATTAATTTTGTTGTACCCCTTACACCAAAACGTTCATATTTAGGAGGTAAACCTGTACATCTTATGCCAAGAGCTTAATATGTTATATAAAAAGTATCCAATTATTTCCATAAAAAATAAAAATGCCTAATTCGGATATTCAATTTGGCAGTGGTGTAACTATATCATCTGAGGCCCGACGCAAATTCTTGGATGGGGCCCTCCCAGTAAAAATCGTCACTTTGTAATTTAATTTTAATAAAACACTTCTTAAGTAGTTTCCCAACACTATTAACTATAACTATAGTGCCAGTTACTGTCGAAATTCGACAGTTTTTCTAGTTGTAGAAGCCTTGGAGAGGTTTTCTAACTTAACACGTAGCAAAACTTATACTTTTGCTAAAACGTAACTAAATTTTTTTTGTCTGAGAAGGTCTTTGGAGGACTTCGGCAGGACATGGAATTGACCCTATGCATTCAAGTTTATCGATAAATTTCCCTGATTTGATACATATCGATAGTTCGATGAATTTCAAGAACACTAAAATTCGATAACTCAACAAAATTCGTTAACTCGACCAATTTCGATAACTGTAAAATTCGATGGCTCGATAAATTTCGATAACTCAAAAATGTAAAAACTTTGGATACCTTTATAAATTTTTACTATTGACATCTCCACATTTTTCGAAAACTATCTAAACATTTTGATAACTCGTTACACTCTGTTAAGACGATTAAATTCGATAAGCAATGATAAATCGATAAGCTTATATAACCTTGAAATTTCGACAAATCGACATATTTTGAAAAATCCATAAACTACGCTTCATTGAACCAACCAATTTCAGTGGATCAATAATTATCGATAACTCTGTAAGTTGAAAGAACTCCATGCATAACTTGATACATTTCTTTAACTTGACAAATTTCGTTAATCCCACACGTTTTTATAGCTCGACAACTATCCGAAAATTTGGACAACTAAGTTTCTGTGTCTATAAATTTCGACAACTCATTAATCATTGATCAGTTTGAATACTTCGATACGTTGCGATTACTTAATAAGCATGGATAAATTTCGATAATTATAAACTTCGATGATTCGATAAATTTCAGTAACCTTTATGGCTTATTTTATTTCGATTCCTATCTTTTAACCTAATTCTTATGTATTTCTCATTGTCTCCATTTTCGCCTTTATTTCAATTTTCGTCTTTATCTTCACTTTTGCCTTATTTGTCTTCATCGTTATCACTTGTTTCTTCATCTTCATATTTATCTTTATTTCAAAGTTTAATTTCAAATACGAAGTAAAACAAAATCAAAATGCGAAACAGCTTAAATTGAACAGGTTGCAAAAACAACCATACACAAATATGGAAATTTTTAAACGACGATTTTCCACCAATTTCGAAACTATAAGAACTCTCCTCATATACAGAAAATTACCTTTCCAACGGTGTTTTTGGTTTTGAAATCGGTAACTTTACCTTGGTCTTCATCTTTGTTTTTATCTTTCACATCTTTGCTTATATCCTTTTCTTTTTCTATTCACGTAGATGAGATGAGGTGCGATGACGTGATAAGATGTGACGTGATTTTATGTGATGTGATAGGATGTCATGTCATGTGTTGTCATATCCTCTGATGTCATGTTATATGATGTCATTCCATATGATGTCATATCATGTGATACCACGTCATGTAATGCCATGTCATGTCATATCATGTGATGTCAAGTCATGTGATGCCATGCCATATAATGTGATGTCATATCATATAATGTCATGTCGCGTGATATCGTGTGATGTTATATCATATTATGTGATGTAATATCATGTGATGTCTCTTCATATCATGTGATAAAATGTGATGTCATGTCATGTAATGTGATCACATTCCACGTTACGGTTACTGTATCGATAACCCTGTTGATAACTGTGTCGATAAAAATACCGATAACAATATCCATAAACATATAGAAAAATACGACGATTGTAAAATCGATTAAT